CTAAGCCCAGGAGTTGGAGGTTGCTGTGAGCTGTGTGACACCACGGCACTCTATCGAGGGTGACAAAGTGAGACACTGTCTCTACAAAAAAAAAAAAAGAATAGAAGAAGAATATGGCAAAACCTTTAACCAGTTCTCAAGCTTTTTTACATAAAAGAATTTGCTATGGGGAGAAACCCTACAAATGTCAAGAATGTGGCAAATCTTATTTATTTATTTATTTATTTGAATTTTTTTGCTGGAGCTTGGTTTGAACCCACCACCTCCAGCATATGGAGCCAGCGCCCTACTCCTTTGAGCCACCAGTGGCAAACTGTTAAGCAGTACTCAAGCCTTTCTGTACATAAAAGAATTCACTCTGGAGAGAAATCCTACAAATGTGAAGAATGCGGCAAAGCCTTTACTCAGCACTCACACCTTTCTGAACAGCAAAGCCAGCAAAGAATTTACTATGGCGAGAAACCGTACAAATGTCAATAATGTGGCAAAGCCTATAAGTGGTACTCACGCCTTTCTGAACATCAAAGAATTTACCCTGGACATAAACCTTACAAATGTGTTAAAGCCTTTTAATGTAGTCATTAGTAGTACACATTTGTTGTGGAGAAAAACTCTACAAAGGTCAAAAATATGGCAAAACCTTTAATGCGTTTGTGAACCTTTCTAGACATTTATGAATTTATTCTGGACAGAAACCTTATAAATATGGACAGTGGGCAACTCACTAACTCACATTCAATCCTCCGTATATATAGAAGAAATCACACAGTAGAGAAACCCTCCACATGGAGACTGTGGCTGTGCCTTTACCTGGTGTTCATAGCATGCTAAGCATAAGAGAATTCAAACTGGTGAGGAATCCTACCAATGTGAACAGTGTGGCAATGACTTTAACCAGAGCTCAAACCTTACAATACATAAGAACATTCGTATTAGAGAAAAATCTTACAAATGCAAATAATGTGGCAAAGGTTTTCAGTGGTCCTCAGTCTTATTAAACATAAGAGAAATCATAGCAGGAAAAATGGTAACAATGTGAAAATGTGGGAAAGCCTCATTCCAGTAGGCACTGTTTCCTGTACACAACAGAATTCATGTTGAAGAGAAACTCTACAAATGTGAAGAGATTGACAGCTGTTTAATCCTTAAACCATTATATAAATAAAAAATTTACAACACAGAAATTCCCTACAAATGAGAAGTGTCAAATCCTATAAGCAGTACTCATTTCAGTACATAATAGAATTCATTGAGAAATACTACATGTTAAGACTGTGACAATATCGGGTGGCACCTGTGGCTCAGTGAGTAGGGCATTGGCCCCATATACCCAGGGTGGCGGCTTCAAACCTGCCACCTGCCAAACTGCAAACAAAAAATAGCCAGGCATTGTGGCATGCTAAGCATAAAAGAATTATGCCTGTACGGAGGCTGAGGCAAGAGAATCACCTAAGCCCAGGAGTTGGAGGTTGCTGCGAGCCATGATGCCATGGCACTCTACCAAGGGCGACAAAGTAAGACTATGTCTCTAGAAAAAAAAAGAAAGTGACAGTATCTTTAAATATATCTCACGCTTTTCCAATCCTAATTCAAATGGAAGAAATGCTCTACAAATGTCAGTCCTGTCTCAGAGCCTTAAAGTTGTGTTATCCTGTTAGGTAGAGCTAAGGAGAGACAGGGGCAGATGATACTAGGAGATCCTTTGTCTATAATTTAAGAGGAACAAATTGAGCAGAAGGGACTTCTGAGAAACAAAAGCTGACATTTCAAGGCTTTCCAAAACTGAACTGATGTTATTCTACAAAAATGAGTCTAAGAGGTAGAGAGGCCACAATGTGGAGATACGGCCAAGGCCACGAAAAGGGAGTCTTTGGAGTGGGCATACAAGTAAGATGGCAGTAGGCTCAAGTGACCTATTGTCATTAACATAGTACAATTTACACCAGTTCTATCATACTCTACAATTACAATGATAAATAGTGTCCATTAATTACAGGGATAGAAATGGGAGGACTCTCCATTCTGGAAGGTTTCCCCATTTCCAAGAAATATCAATATTTTATCCCCATGCCACTAACCTAGAATTGGAAAATCCATGTAAGGGGAAACATCTTGCTAATCCCAGGGTCTTCTCCACTTAGAATGTAGATGTGTTCCTTCTCTGGAGTGTAGAGTCCTTTATAGTCTTTGCACTTTTGCACACTTGTATCTGCTCATTCTGCTCATTGTTTCACTGTCTTGGTTGTAATAACTGTTCTTCAGTATGTGGAACAAAAAAATGGGACACATACCTCACCTCTGGTCCCCTAATATTTTGGGGACCATTTTGGTGTTACTATCTGGAAGGAAAATGTACATCTTCAACAGGATAAGCTAATGGAACAATAGACATTCTGAGTTCACTCTGCTGCTGGGTATTACTTATTACTCCTGCATCTCTCTGGCCGTCTTCACTTCCAGGTAATGTAGCTCCTTACCTGCCCCTGCTTCATCTGCTTCTTCCTTCCTCACCTTGACAATGCACTTCATCTCCCACTTAGTGCTGATATTCAAAAGTTTAAAAAGGGGTCTCAGACCTCACATGCAGAATGTTAGACCAGGTTTAAGGTATTGATAACCAGAATGGGGATGAGTAGACGATGAGAGAACTCCAGGCCATGAGCAGATCTTTTGGGGTTTTGTGTGTTTGTTTGTTTGTTTTGAGACAGAGTATCAAGCTGTCTACCCTGGGTAGAGTGCTGCAACATCACAGCTCACAGCAACCTGGAACTCTTGGGCTTAAGCGATTCTCTTGCCTCAGCTTCCCAAGTAGCTGGAACTACTGGCTTATTATTATTATTAACTACTGGCTTATTATTATTATTATTATTTTGGTTGTAGTTGTTCTTTTTGTTTGGCAGGCCCAGGCTGGATTTGAATCCTCCAGCTTTTGTATATGCTGCTTGAGCTACCAGCACTGAGCCCATTAGCAGATCTTAAGAGCAAAAGGAAGCTTTTGAAATGATTACTATCACTAAGGAAGAAAGTTGTCAGGCACTGAGTTCCTCTAGAGGCTCAGTCAAGAAGACAGGAGGCCTGAGCCCTTCCTAGTCTCAGTTCTGGGAATAAGAAATGGCTCAGGAAGGGGCCTATGCTGGGATTATCCCTCTCTATTAGAGAGGTGCAGTGCAAGTGGCATTGCCCTCCCCTGGAGACAGGGAATCACATTCACCCTCCCAGCGGTTCTCAACCTGTGGGTCATGATCTTTTTGTAACAATGAAAATACATTGCAGCATTGGAAAGGTTGAGAACCACTGTACACCCTGTGAAATCCCTCAACCAGCACTGACCCTCTGAAACTCTCTCAGGCTGATGGACAAATTGCAACTTGAGAACAAGCTCATCTGGGAAGGCTGAGTGTTGGCAAGCTGTCTCTCTGTGATAGTAAACAAACTGGTGTGCATAACATTAGAGCCTCTCTGCTCTCCCTGGACATTCAGGGCCTCTGCTTCCCTCTCCTATATCTCTCTTCAAAACGGAAGGTAAAATACAAATTCTTCTGATTGCTAAAGTCCTTCTGCTCACTGGTTGATGATGTCTTTGTTTAACCCCTTTGATGCTTTTCAATTGCCCTAATTTATTGTTTGGATGAAGTCTCCTCTTCAGGCAGAGACCTAAATCCTTTAAATCCACAGGCCTCCTTTCTCACGTCTTTATGAAGAAAAGACTTAACTAGGATACAGTTTTATTTCAAAGGAGAAAAAAAAGAAGCAAGAAGGATTCAAAATGTAGAAGTGAAATGTGAAGAAAGTCATGACTATGAAAAACAATGGGTCATTTAAAGAAAGGAACTTTAAAGGGTAAGGGAATAATTTTGTCTAGGACAAAAACTGATATAGCAATGTTTGTCCTAAAATAAGTCATGGTTTAATAAGAAAAATTTGGAATAAACACAGGACTTCAGCATGTCAAAAATAGTCTATGTAAGGCATGATATTTGCAAAGGTGGATTGATCAACATTTTGTATGTCAACAAGTTGGTCTAATTGAAAGGGAATCTCTAATTAAAACAACAAAGTGGGCTGGGGACGTGGCGCCAGCCTGTAATTCTACCACTCTGGGAGGCAAAGTTGGCTGGATTGCTTGAACTTATGAGTTCCAGAGCAGCCTGAACACAACTGAGACCCCATCTGTAACAAAAATAGAAACCCTGATGCAAGAGGATCTCTTGAACCTAGGAGTTGGAGGTGCTGTGAACTATGATGCTACAGCACTCTACCCAGAATGACAGCTTGGGATTCTGTCTCAAAGAAATAAAAATAAAAAAGTAGGAACACAGGGCAGTGCCTGTGGCTCAAAGGAGTAGGGCACTGGCCCCATATGCCAAAGATGGCGGGTTCAAACCCAGCCCTGGCCAAAAACTGCAAAAAAAAAAAAAAAATTAAACAACAATAAAAAACTTGAA